GGTAATACTATCTCAAATACTATGTTTTATTATCAAGGGGCTATCCAAATACAACTCATGATGTTTTCTTCCCTTATTTTGGGGAATAAAAACTTGGCCTTCCTGAAAAAACTGATTCTGAGTTTCCTGAGGTACATAAGTCAAGAGTAACATAGCTAGAGCCAATGTGAATTGGAAATCAGTCTTTTGGACTTGACCATCACTTTGCAATACAGAAGGTCAGGCCTGTAACAATGGTTACTTACCTAAGCTTGAGCAACTGATCCAGAACAATTGAAAATACTTGATATATACTGTGTGGTAAACAGATAAACTGCAGCCTAACATAAAAAAAAAAAAAAAAGAAAAAGGAAATGTAGTTGGTATTTTTCAGTTCTGCCTTCACTAGGACCAACCTTGTATTTCTTAAAAAAAATCCACAAAATGGGACCACATGAAGATACCACCCTCTCACCAGCACAAGGAAAGCACATGGCTGAGAGCAGTCCCCACAAATAAGTTGATGCATTTGGAGATAATTATGTGCTAATTTTATCAGATGCATGTTAGCATCAGACCATAACCAAATGAAACAGAAATAGTTATGAGAATCGGTATGTAGGTGTGAGAAGGTGCAGTGTCCTCAATGTAAGGCTGGCAGTCACACTTACGCTTCCCCCATGCACAAGCAGCTTTACCTCTCTTCTCTGCGAAGGAATTACTCTTCAACAGAAAGTTACCAGCTATAAAAGCTTCTTTCTGACAAATCTGATGTGGACATTCACATGACTCATTTGCAACCTAGTCCCAAGCCTTACTCTCAATATGGAAATTTGGAACTATTTTCAACCAGCCCCAAGCCTATGAAGAATAAACTGTCTTTTTAAAAATACTACTCTACCTTTTAAGTATGCAGATTGTCAGGCTGAATTTTAAATGCAATCACTTTGCTTTCAGTATACCCTAAAAATCAGGAGTCACAGTCTGCATGAATCAGTCCTCTGCACCTAGGACCTGCTATTTCCATCACTTTAAGCCTGTGTGCTGCTGTTACGTGAATTGTCCACTCTTTTTCCCCAGACTCCTTCATGAAATGCACATGCGATAGAAAATCCATTTATCATACTGGAAATCACTATTTTATTTAATCTTCCCAAAGAGAGCAACATCAAATTATGATGTGTTAAGAATGATAATCTGCCAAATTCAAGGGAATACTCCAAACTTATCCCTCCACATCTGCAATAGAACAGGTCAAAGAGAAGATTGTAGAAGACATGGGTAGGAAGACATGATGTGAGCATACATAACGAGAAGATGAAAAGTCTCTTAATCTTCACAGATTGAATGAAATCTAATTACATGCTGTATTGATTGTTGTGTATTACTGGAAAGAGACAGTGAAAAGGGAAAAAGGCAATTACAGTGAAATTGTAGTCTGACCCTTCAATTGCTTTTGGCATGAAAGGTTATGCTGTAGTTGGGGCATCAAAAATTCTTTAAAGTAAATCATTAGTAACAGACTCAGATGCAAAACTGATTAGGGGAAAAATTCAGTAAACAAAATCTTTTTTATTTTTTCCCCTTTATGAAAAATAGAGGCAAAGGAAGAAAATACCAAAGTGTTATCATCATGTCATTTCATGAACTGCTACTAAATCTATCTGGCTTTAGTTCTGTGTGGAATGACAGTAAATCACATTCACCAATAGAAATATCACAGCAAAGATGGAAAAAAATACATAGATTAATAACTAGATCTAGACTAACTCCCTTTTTCAAAATAAATACTATACTCAAAGTCAAATATTTAAGAGGTAAAGTTTCACCAAGAAAATTCCACAGACACATTTCATTGCTTTCCTTTCCATTTGCACACTCCATCCACTCACTTCCACCAAAAACAGCAGCAGCTGAGCTAAAGAAAGCTTTCAGAAATAGTATTTTTCTAAGCTGATAGAAAACCAAACCATGGGCCAACTGAAAACTACTGTTTGGGTGAATGTCTGCATGACTCTGCATGGAATCATGGCAATTCTTATCCATTCTATTCTAAAAATTCCTGTTCTGCCAAAGATAATTGCAAGGAGCAGCCTTCTACTGACTTTCGTGCATGGTCCTCTGCGTTCTACATGCACCTCCACAGTCATTGTATGTGCAGTTTTTATTCGGACTGAAAAGTTTACAAGTTTTCTAGTGTTCAGTTTTAGGTTGCCTCTTGCACTGCCTGTGTTTATTTTTCCTTGCAGAAGTTACACTTTCAAATAACATTTCTCTGAGTGCATGAAAACAAATAAGTGTGACAAAAACAAAATTCTGTATGGCTGTTGCTGCAGTGCTGGGCTCTCACAGAAGTGTCTTTCTATTGTACTGGATCTTCAACAGGGTCCCTATAAAATATTACCAGGTCTTACCAGTTTCAGACTGGTAATCCGAAGAGTAGAGACAAATGAAATAAAAGAACACTAAGATTTTATTACCAAAAATATAAGGTACTTAATAGGTGGCTCTAAATTTACTGATCTCAAAACAGAAAGAACTGGGGGTAAAAAACTGAAATACTGATCTGGAGAGACCTACTGTGCAAATAACATTGAGCTGGACTCAAACCACTGGTACTTGCAGGAGCTCTGGGTATGCAAGGAATTCATATTCCTTATGAATAAAATCTGTCTACCCATGTCTGTCTCTCTGTATAAAAGTGACTTTGACTCACCTCATGAAAAAGTAACATCCAAGAAGGTTTCAGATGGCTCTCTAACCTTGTCATAAAGCAGCGTATACTGCTTTAATGTCTGATAATGCCTGAGAAACCTTGCTCGACACTGGGGTGAAGCTGCATAGCTCCAGAGCAGACAGAGTGCTTGTGTAATACCAGTCTTTCCATGAGACACGGTAGAGCACTGTCACAGACAGGCTCCCTTGAATCTCAATGCTGCCACAGCAGCATTATGCCCACTAATGGCATAAGTAATGAGTCATAATATTAAAAACAGAATGCCAATGAGCTAAACCCAAACATAGATGCTTGATCCTGATTTCAGTTACAGTGATGCAAATATGATGATTTCAGTGGAGCACTTCCTAATTTTTTAGGACTTTTCTGTTTTGTTGCCACAGGATAGAGAAAAAAAAAAAAAAAAAAAAAAAAAAGAAAGTGACAAAGTATCTTTTTACAATGATTATGAACTAATTAGTCTGTGTTAAGGCACCACTCTGTAATAAAAAAAAAAACAAAAAACAACTGTATCAGAGAGAAACTGAAGGGAAATGAATAGGAAATTTCATTGAACAGTTCAGCTTGAAAAATCTTCTGTATTTTCCCCTGTAAGAACTTTCAAGAAGAAACTGCCTACAGTGTTTATTATGACCTGAAGAAGCAACATAACATTTAAGTTCAAGTAATTTCACAGTGAAGTTCCATATCCAACAAACCAAATGAAAGTCTCCAACTTAGAGGCATGTTTCACAAGGAGCCTCCTGTTCACAGTGAAGCCACAGTCATTGCGTGTGACAGTGCCTGCCCAGTACACCAAGGACTCCTGCTGATTCTCCAGGGGATGCTACGCTGAGATGAACCCAGAGCAGGTAAATCCTACCCCAGTCTGACCTATGAACACCACCAAGATCAAATCAATTTGGGACAAAAAAACCCCATTCAGCCATTCAGTTGAGCTACAATGGAGATAGCCTGAGGACTAATCTAATTCAGTTTGGAAACTCTATGGCTTTACTGAATCTGGGAGGACGATTTCCCTCTTGAACCCTACATTCTTCAAAACTGCTCCAAAATATGGTTAGGAAACACAGCCATAAACACGTTCCTTCTAATTCACGAATGTGTATTTTTGTGATAGACACCCACGCTCTACATTCCCTTTCTCTCTTCCCCATTCACACAGATGAGTACAGAAGGGGATGCCTGTCCTATAACACTTGCTGGCATAGACTGCATACTACCGTAACAGCCTAACCTACTTGGATCGATACAGTCATTCAGAAAGTAGAAACAGGAAACACACTTTATCCTAAGCCTCCTATTTGTCTGCATTTTGAGACTACAGTAGCCTTTGTTAAATCAATGTTACGAGGAAGATTTTCACAAGCAGCCTAGAAGCACGTTTGGTATACTTAAACATATATACACTAGAAGCTTTATTTGGTGCTAGGCACTAAATGTTACATTTCTATTATAAATTTCTGTAAAAGCTCACTCCTTCAACCTCTCCTTGTCCAAAGCACTGATGTATTTAATCGCATTCTTACTTCTTTGATATTTCACATTTAAACTTTATGAATCTATGCAAACACAAACACTTGTTTTGAAGATTTAGTTTACATATGAAATGTTAGTTGTCCTGTAACAACTTTTATGGCTTAGCCTGTTCTAGCTACCGTGGAAGGCTTCTTTGCTTACCCACCAAGATTTTTCAAGGCTGGTGAATTTGAACAGAATGTCATAAAAGGATGTGGTGGATGCTTCCCCTCCTCACCAAAAATAATATCAAATTAAAATAGCAAAGTCATTAAGAAAACATATGGGTGCTATGTTCAAATAGACCATTAAAAATACATAGGATAAGAACTCAGTAAAAGGTTTTTAAAGTAGTTCTGAGACTAAGTATATAACTTCCAGCTATAACCTAACAGTGTATTTGCTATACAAACACCTACCCATGCAGAGTCCATTATCCAGGCAAACTATAAAACCTGGTACAGTTCGCAGGGACTTCCACCAGTCCTTAAACCCATGAGTTCCTTAACTCTGCATCTATTGAAGAAGTCCCGACTTTGGACCAAGAGTCAGTGGAGGGGAGGCTCAACAAATCCCACCAGCAAAACCCTGCAGCCACCTTTTTCCCTTTGTTTTCAGCACTTCAGCAGTGGGGTCTGTTTGTATAGCACCTGGGCTTCCCTTCCAGCGGGCAGGCACTTCAGGTGCCCTTCCCCAACCTGCAGAACCCTCCCAGGACACAGGGCACCACGGGACCAGTGCTGCATCCCCTCCCAGCCCTCCGTACCATTTAGCTGGTTGTAAACCACTTCCTCCAGGTGGTCTAGGCGCTGCAGGATGGACTCCCTGTCGGTCAGGCTGCCCACCTTGGTACCGCGGCTCCTAGCCCGGCGATCTGCGCTTCGGACGATCTGCACCAGCTCCTGGGATCGGTCCTGAATCCTGCAGTAGACGGAGAAGAGGATGATACCCACGAAGACCAAAATGTTCACCGTCAACAAAGTTTT